AATCTGCAGATGCCTGGGGCTGCCATCTTGGATGGCGAGGCCAGAGCTTCCAGCCTACCAGGGAGGCGGGTGTACAGGGGACCCAGGACTGCCCTGGACTTACTCTCTCCATGTGCAACTGCAGGCCCCCTGTCGGTCTAGGGCTGAGAGTTTGTTCTTAAACCTCTTTCCAGGCATCTTTACTTGTAAGACAAGTCCTTGATAGTGGGGCCATCATGCTGCTCTGGAGAACACAATTCCATCAGGTGTGCTGGATGAGGCCTCAAGCCCTTATGGTGTGATTCTCTCCCCAGATCCCATAGAAGGACCATCCATCTCTAGGGTTTCACACACATAAAAGAAATTGTGCAGTTCTCTATTTGTGGAACAAGAATCTTTGGTGTCAGAAGCTTCAGAGTTCTCTTTTGTTTCATTCCACCAACAAATTGTTAAAAACACCTGATGAAAAGTAATGATGCTACCTTTTGGTAATGTATTTAAGCACTCTATACATCTTATAATGAAGGTAGGGGTCAGGAAAAAAGAGAGGATGGAGAGAAAAGAGGGAGAAACACAAGTTAAATTCCTTCTAGATTTTGCCAAGTGGGCTAAAGAAACCCCCTGAAGTCTTTGGCAGCAACAAGTGCTAGGTGTAATATGGATAGCAATTTTGAAATATTTTCTGATGGACCATCCCCTGCCATGAAACCAGGTTTCTCTCTGTGTATTTTGTCTGCTATTATGACCTTGGGGAAGGGGCCTGGTGAATGTTGCTTCCAGAAGGAAACAGAGTCTAAGGGAAGCCCCTGTCATACAGGAAGAAGGGACAGCATCCCTTTCCGCCCCAGTGTAGAGAGGAGGAGGAAGGGGGAACCAAAGATGTTTGGTACCAATGACCTCACTTCCTCCCATTCTTTCAGGGTCAAATCTGGGTGATGAGGGGAAGCAAGGACTCCAGTGCCTGGGTCAGAAGAGGTAGGCTGTCCCTGTGTGACTCTTCCTGTGTGATGGGGGCTTCCCTAATACCCTGATTCCTTCAGGAAACAACATTCACCTGGACTCTTCGCTAGGGTCTAACAGGAGAGTACAGAACTTTGCAACCAGAGGCAATGGTGTGGGTAAATTCAGCTACAGCTCCCTCCAAAGACCAGATGAAACAGATGCCAGCAGACACAGCCCGAGGCCCGGGCCAGCCTAGGCAGCCACTCCACAGCAGAGGCCAACAGGCATCTAGGGGACATCTTGCAGATCCAGGCCTGCTCTCCCGTCACCCAGGCACCCTCTGTGTGGGCTGACGTGGGAGTAGAGATAAGAAATCTTCAAAAACCTGCTTAAACCAGAATAGATTGAGATGCCATTTAGTGGCTGGTTTGAGTTTTCAACCACCCTGCCACCACTGCATGGAGGACTGGAGCTGAAGGTGGTCTTAAGGAAGATGAGATGAGCCATCATAAATGAAGAGCTACATTTTCTTTGCACATGAAGTGCAGAGTGCACGAGTGGAACAGCCTCTTCCTCACCCCCCACCCACTCCACTTATTTCAGATCTAGGACAAAGTTCACCCCCCTCAGAAGGCTTTCCCTGACTAATTCCATCCAACACACGTGTACCAAACACCAGCTGTGTACACAGCACCCAGGGGTGAAACACAGGCTGCCTACAGGGGCTTCTAAGACCGTATGAGACACAGACACCATCACAATTACAGCACCAGGTGAAGGAGGTCCATGGTGTTAGTATCCACAAGAGCACAAGCTATCCCGAACGAGAGACTGGGAGTTGGTGTTAAGAGTTGACGTTAGAGCTCGGCGTCCGAGAGTGGGTAAGATTTCACAGCTAGAGGTGGAGGGGAAGGACGTTCTAGGCAAAGGGAATGATTTCCACCAGGGCCCAGAGGCTGGACAGGTAAACTTGTAGCTCTCTACAGTTTATTCTCAAATGGATTTTCCATGTAATTCTTGTATCTATATTATGTTCCCGTTGCTGCTGTAGCAAATTACCACAAACTTAGTTGTTTAAAACAACACAAGTTTATTATTTTACCTTTCTAGAGATCAGAAATCTGAAATTAGTCTTATGGGGCTAAAATCAAGGTGTCAGTAGGGCTGGTTCTTTCTCTACGCTCCAGAGGAGAATCTGTTCCTCAGCTCCTCCAGTTCCCAGAGGCTGCCAGCATCCCTTGCTTGTGGCCGCATCACTCCAGTCTCTGCTTTTGTTGTTCCATCTCCTTCTTCTGTCTTTGACCTTCTTGCCTCCCTCTTATAAGGACCCTTGTGATTACACTGGGCCCACGAGGATAACCCAGGATAATCTCCTCCTCTCAAAACCCTTGATTTAATCACATCTGTAAAGGCTCTCTTACCATGTAAGGTAACATGTTCACAATTTCTGGGGACCAGGATGTAGGCGTCTTTGGAGCACCACTACTCTGCCTAATACAGTATCGTTTATGTTACTTCCCTTCTAATTCAGTGTGAGTAACTGAGTTAGGATCCTATCAGTGAAATGAAAAGGGAAATTCAAATACACTTTAAAAAATGGAAACATACTAATAACAACTTTGATACTCATTAAGGTATGAAGGTGAACACTATTTAGAACTAACAATTGTCCTTCAAAAATAAATATAATCCAGGGCCGGCCCCGTGGCTTAGCGGTTAAGTGCGCGCGCTCCGCTACTGGCGGCCCGGGTTCGGATCCTGGGTGTGCACCGACGCTCTGCTTCTCCGGCCATGCTGAGGCTGCGTCCCACATACAGCAACTAGAAGGATGTGCAACTATGACATACAACTATCTCCTGGGGTTTTGGGGAAAACAAAGGAGGAGGATTGACATAGATGTTAGCTCAGAGCCGGTCTTCCTCAGCAAAAAAGAGGAGGATTAGCATGGATGTTAGCTCAGGGCTGATCTTCCTCACACACACACACACACACACACAAATAAATAAATATAATCCAAATCCTCAATATTTAATATTAAATTGGTCTTTCCTGCCTCCCAGCATCACTTTATTTGTACTTCTCACCCTGGGGCTACCTGACTCCCAGCAGGTACACTGACAACCAGAGGTAACCATAAGTGGCGGAATAAACATTCCCAGAGTGCCGACTTTATTAATTATAATAATCCACTTAAAAATTTTTATATCAATTAATGTGTCTATAATACAGAGTAGAATGGAAATTTTGAATAAGTTTAATAAAACATGAGACTTTAAAGAAGCTTCAGACTGTGCCTAAGGAGATACTTCTCTGAGGAATATTTTGTTGAAACGCTGGGAAAGCACTGGTATAAATGAGAATAATTCACGCACAGTACAAATAGAGCAAAACTTTGTTTCTCAAAAAACAAAAAATCAAGAAAATAGTATCTCCCGATTAAATTTAATTCCAGCTGAGAGTGACATAAAATGTTTTCCTCACAGTATTTGGAGCTCATCTGTTATGTACCAAGCACGTAATAATTCATCTATATATAGAACTCCGATGTTGGCAAGTTTCTGGTTCAGTATATAGCTGAAAACCAATATGTAAAAATATGCACTAATTAAACTTTTCATTTTGTATTTAGAAAAGGCCCGCAGCAACTCAGCTGAAGTAGGTTTACCTTTAGTTCATACACAACTCTGTTTTAAGGTTGGCTTCATGGGCCCCGTACCGAAAGCAATAAACAATGAATTGGGGGAGAAGCCTTATTCCAGGAAACTAAGAGAGGTTGACGTTACAGCTGGCAGAATCACAAGAGAAAAAAAATGTTAAAAAAGTGTTATTTTTGACCACCTGCTATACACCAGACATTACCTCATATAATTATCACAATCCTGGGTGTTCTCCTCTTTTTACACCCAGGATCAGAGAGGTTGAGAAGAGCTGGGATTCAAAACAAATCGTCAAACTCCAAAGCTTGTGACCTTTCTCCTACGTAAAACTCGGCAGAATTCTTTAGGAAAGAGGTGGGAGTGTAAATGAGCTTAGAGTCTTTTCCAACTCAAGTTACAGTGAGTTTTTATTCCCCTAAATGTAGAACCTGAGTTATGTGTTAAACATGGCTTTCCAGAATAACTCACGAGCCCAACATCCCATGTCCAGGCATGGAGTGAAATCCAGGACAGTCAACCACGGGGGATTTCTATTTCATTTATTCACCCTTCTTTCTATTTCTAATGGGTATAATTTACCTTTCTAGGGTTCAAATTACTCTTTCACTTCTGGGTACCACTTGAATTTCTTTTTGAATAAAATGGATTTTTATTTATTTTCTTGCCGAGGAGCGTGTATTGACTCGGCATGTACACCCTTCTTCCCCTTGCCACTTCTCATGTAACCAGCTCTTCTCTCCTCGCAGGACTGATCCTCACAAAGATCTCAGGAGCAAATGCTCAGAAAGCACTTAAAACAGTGCTTGGCAAATAGTCAGTGACCTTCCGGGTTTTTCCTTTTATGGAGACTCCTTCAATTATAGGTAAGCCAATTAGGATGGCTCATTATTAATAATGAATTAATATGAATTATAAAAGTAGACTTTTGCTTCTCCATTATTACCCACTGCCCAGCATAAAATAAAATAACCCAAAATAGAATTCCGGATTTTATTAGAGAATATATCTAAAATATGATATTTATTAAGTTATGATATATTATTTGAATCGAAATATACTCTGTATCACAACTATAATTATAACAGGTTTTACAGGTAATACTTCATTTATATCTCTGTAATTCAAAAGTCACTAAATTACAACATAATTCATATTTAAGATAACTGCTACAAATATATAAGAATTTTATAATTTTTCTTTAATATAACATCTTGGAATCGTGAACATTTACCTCATCTGGTTTACATTACATAGAATCATTTCTATTTGACCTGATTTACATTACACAGCTCAGTTTATCTCATGATCTGGATGTGCGCTCATTCTGCTTTCCTATATTTTAAAAAGAGCCTTTTAATGAACAATCGTGAATCTCATCACCCCAGGTGCTGTGGACACAGTGTGGGTACTTTCCTCCTGTTCCTTATAGAATATTCTCTGTTACAGAAAGCCTTCTATGGGGAGAAAAGCACCAGTCACTGCAATTCTGTCAAGCATGACAATTGGTCTGGCGCTTCACATTTTATCAGTAAGCACGTCAGGTGAGAGATGAAGGGTCTTGAAAACCAGATACAAAGCAGCCAGGGTCCAAATTCACCAAGGTAGATTTGTGCTTAGCTAAAGGAAAACCCAAACATTCACTCTTTGGACCCCGGCTGTGGGACCCTCTTATTTGAAGGAAGCTTTGACTTGTCTGTCTTTCAGCGGCTGAGTGGGGCGCCAGTTATCCACCATCCGTTCTTCAGGTTCGCCCTCCACATTGAAGTTGAGAGTACGGAATTTCGACATCTAAAAGACAAAATAAAAGATTAAAAAATTAAAAATAAGCGCTTCACAATAGTATTCACTTGTGTGCTTGTGTTGCATCTTGAAATACATTCCCCAATATTCACAGGACCATGTATCAATGTTCAAAATTTGATTCCCAATAGATATATAATCGCATATAGATTATATATGTATGTTTTTATAGAAAAAATCAGTCTCTATAAAATACACACAAAATCATTGCTGTCATTTGGAAGGAAATTTTCAGTGAGCTTGTTTTTTCCTCTTTTAATTTTATAATCAAACTTCAAAAGCCTACAAAATACTTCTGAGATGTAAAATAATAATCACAATTCTAGAGCTAAGTTAAAGTTTGATTTTCTGCCCCAAGGAAGATAAACTGTACCACTTGCACAATTAGATAAAGTGGTCCAGGATCTGCAAGCCCCAGGTGCCAGGAACTGGCTCGCATCTCTCCTTAAACATGTAGAAACACAGGAATGAATTTGCCCAAGCTGGGATCTCAAATCCTTGTCACTGGTTGATTTTTATTCCCTCTTAAATTTGTTTCAGTTCCCTGCCCAATGACGTGACACAGGCAGCCCTCAACCAGTCTCCTACCTCTTTGAGGTTGTTTTTGCAAAGTGGTACTTCCCTTTCCCTAAGCAAGACTTGATCTAAACACAGAAATGTGGTCTGGGCAATAACGTAGCAGCCCATGAATCAGGAGCCTTTAACATGATCTCTTGGGTCCAGTAATGGTCCCTTGGTCACCCCCCAACGAAGCCGACTTCAATGTAAGTCAACTATTGTAATATATACAACCATTGTTTCCACGAAGCATTGACTTCTTGAACATCACAAACTCCGTTGTATGGGACATGTAAGAGGTCTGGTCTAAGCTGCTAAGGCAACTTGGAGTGAGTTTTCATAGGGACTTTTTCTCCAAGGGAGAACTCTCATCTTTGTCAGAATTCGGAAAAGTATTCTGACACAAATAAAACCGCAGTAAGCTCTTCTGTGAGTGAGCAGTAGGCTGGGAATTACCACCAACACCTCTGTGATCTTGAACATGAAGTCCCATTGTTCTGGGCTTTGGTTTCCTCGCAGGTCACAAAACAGCATTTATTAGGTGACAGACACCTTTCTCATTTAATCTTCAATTTTATCCAATTTTACACAGGAAAACAAACTGCCTAGGGTTATGGTTAGTAACAACAGTTATTTATGGAATGCTGTATTTGCTCAGCACTGTTGTGGGCACCAGTCCCACAGCAAGCTGCAGTGGGAAGAGAGTTAAACCCCAGGTCTGTCTGACTCCAGAGGCCACGCCCCTCAGCCTGGTCCAAAGGTTCCACCTCTTTAGAAAACCAACCTGCTCACTGCTAACGTTGATGGGTTCCTTGAGCACAACCCAGGTCACGCATTCCAGAAGAGGAGGGGTGGTCAGTGAGCCTGGGTAGGTCCAGTAGTCCAGGCTTTGGGGAAGGAGGCCACGGGGATTAAAGTTAGGAAAGTCCACGCTCTTGCCCTGGAACAAGGCAAGCACACAGGTTACGAATGTCCCATGACAGGGTAGGAGGAAGGCAGGAGAGCAGGGAACGTGAATATTCCCCTCTGATAGCCAGAAAACCTTCTTTTCAAAGAGAGGTTCCATGTTCCCCAGAAAACAAAATAAAAAGAAATTAATAGGCAATATTTGACTTGGAAACATAGATTGGCAGATATGAGCAAGAGAACCTGATTGTTATTGTCACATGTCCATTTCTCATCTTGTCCCCTAAAATAATCCCTTGTATTTTCCATTAAGCCATTAACTCATCATATCCAGCATTTAAAGTGAAACCACTGCCACTGAAATGATGTAATTTTAGGTTGCAGTAACAAAAATATATCCTTGATGAGGAGGTAACTGTCTTGCTATCCTATTTGATGGCTAGATCAGAACTAAAGACCTGAACTCAGTTCTGGACACCGCACTTTTAAAGCAATAGATGCAAACAGGAATGAGTTACCAGAAGAGCGATGAGGTTGCTGCAAAGACAGAAAACTGTCATTTGAGAATAAAGGAAACTAAACATAATTAGCCTGGGAGTAGGTGCAAGGCTGTCAGAGAATAGGCTCAAGTGGGAGAGGGGTCAGATTGTTTTTTTTTATTGAGGTATAAGTGACATATAAAATTATATTAGTCTCAGGTATATAATGTAATGATTCAATATTTGTATATATTACGAAATGAGCACCACAATAAACCTAGTTAACATTTGCCACCATACATAGTTATAGAATTTTTTCTTGTGATAAGCACTTTTAAGATCTATTCTCTCAGCAACTTTCAAATATGCAACACAGTGTTGTTCACTATAGTCACCATGCTGTACAACACATCTCCGGGACTTATTTATTTTATAACTGGAAATTTGCACCTTTTGACCCCCTGCACCCATTTCACCTCCCCGCCCCCCACCTCTGGCAACCAATCTGTTCTCTGTATCTTTGAGCTTGTTTTCGTTTGTTTGTTTAGATTCCACATTTAAGTGAGTCCACATGGTCTTTGTCTTTCTCTGTCGGACTTATTTCACTTAGCCTAAGGTCCTCAAAGTCCATTCATGTTGTCACAAATGGCAAGATTTCATTCTTTTTTATGGCTGAATAACATTCCATTATATATATACCACATTTTCTTTATCCATTCCTCCATTGGTGGACACAGGATGTTTCCATGTCTTCGCAATTGTAAACAATGCTGCAATGAACATGAGGGTGCATATATCTTTTTTAATTAATGTTTTCAGATCAGATTTCTTCTACGTGATTCAAAGGGGTCAAGCTAGGAGTAATATAGGTGAGCATTTCAGAAGAGAGATGCTGCTTCAATTTGAGGATGAGCCTTACAAAGCCAGGGCTGCCCTGGTGATCGTAGCCTTTAAGCAGATGCTCAGCGACCTCAACACGACTACGCTGTGGAGAGGATTTAAACATGAGACAGACGAACTCAAAGAGGGCATAGAATGTGAATCTCCATGAAGCAGGGCCTTACTCTACGTGTTCACCATTGTGTTTCCTGGGTTAACAAAGTGACTGGCACGTAGTACATACTCAATAAGTATCCACTGTATGAACGAGTGAATAATTTGGCCAGATGATCATTCAGCCTTTTTGCAATCAAGAGATTCTCTGACTTTTGTATATGAACGTTAAAATGATGGGAAGTAAGATTAAATAAGTACAAGTCTTAAAATTATACTAACATTGGGATTAACTTTTGGATGAAGAAAAGTTAAATAAATATATAAGCAACATTTTATCTTTATTAACTGCTTATCCAAATACCATATATCAAACCGAGACTACTCAATTTGATCAAAAGAACTTTCTAAAACTAGTGGGGTAGGAAAAAAGTGTCCTATTAAGGTGGCAGAAAATTCACCTGTACCTTTGTTTTAATGTAAGCCAGCGCATCAACGACTTTCTGCAGGCCTGGGTTAGCAGCACCAATCTATAGAAAGACACAAGGGACAAAATACTGTATTCCAGTTGGTACCACACCAGCTTTGAATTGGGCAGCTCTACCATAAAATTTCCCTAAGTAGTGAACCAAAATCCACCACTTGCTACCTGCTATCCATCAGTCTTAGTCGGATCACGTCAGCACCATAGACTCCCTTCTTTGACTGACAACCTCCCTCTGCTTCCGCCCCTACAGTTCCCCTGAAACTACCCTCTCAAATGTCGCCAGTGACCTCCAACTGCCAAAGCCAACACTTCTGAAGTGCTTACCTTAATCTTCTTGCAGGATTTTACACGGCTGTCTTCCCTCCTTTTTAAAATTCTCTCTTCCTTTGACTTGCCTTCTGCCCTCCAGCCTCCTGAATCTCCCTTGACTCTTGCCTTCCTTTTCAGTCATTGACTTAGCCTCTTCCCCACCCCGTAAAGGCCTTACATTTTGCTGTCCCTCAGCGTTGTTTCCTTCCCAGCTTTACTATCTCCCTCTCCTTGCTCTCCTTGGATGATTTCACAGACACTTGCAGCTTCCACCTTGACGTGATTTCGGGGCCCATGAATCTTCAGCCCAGACGTTTCTCCACTTGCTTTACGACTGTCTAGGAGTCAGCTCAACCCATACAGAGTCACCGTCCTGCACCCCTCCAAACTTGATCCTATTTTAGCCTTGTCTATCTAGGGTAAGGTTGAATTAAAAAAAACTAGTGGTCATCTGAGGCTTACCTCCTTCTCGCAGCACATTCCACACACACCTAATAAATACCTCTCAGACTGTCTTTGTGTCCTCCGTCGCTACACGACTAGCAGATATGAAGGGGAAATTAAGCCTGAAAACACTCTGGAGCCAAAGGCATTTCCTAGGCTCTTGTAGAATGTCCTGTTTGTTATGAATGTTCCGTCTGGTTAACCTTTCTTGAAAACAAGGAAAAAGAAAAGAATGAGGCCATCAACCAACCTCCAAAAAAACACCCACGACAGCCAGTCCGTCAGGATGTTTCACAGCTTTTCCAAAATCCCCGTATTTGGTGTTCCAATGAACGAAGTGAAGCTACAGCAATAGGAGACAAAACCACAGACAATGAAGGATTTACATAATAAACGTGCACAGATTTTATCCAGTGATCTTTTCTCCATAGCTAGACGTTACTAAAGAAAGTGACAATGTGAATAATTTTACGTATAAACTTTTCTTTCATTTTAATTCTAATTATCCACTATTTGGCACAATAGCAAGTGATTTCACCAACAACTCCAAGACAAAAAGTTGCACGTTTTTGAAGGAAGACACAAATTTTATTTGTAGATTGACATTAAAACAGGATCTTCCAATTTGACTTCATTTACTTTGTGCAAACGGTGGCTTTGGAGGTAGTAGAGGAAGTTCTGTAGCATCAATTATAATATCACAAATAAAGCTTACAAGGAGCAAATGTGAGGGTCCTTTGTAAAAGCAGTGGTTCACTTGGTTTGAGTTGAATCTACAAAATTCAGCTTTTGACAGAGAAAAAGTGTACCTTACCTCTGCAGCATATTTCTTTTTATCCACAGTGTGCTCAGATCCTTGAGCATCAGATGAACCCCAGTGGAAGTGAAACTGGGTCAATCTGTAAGTGCCAGTGAGGGGCCCTCCTTCCAGCACTAAAATTTTAAAAAAGACATACATATGTGTGTGTGTGTACATATGTATATATACACACATTTACACACACACACACACATACACACACACTCATACATGCATTTGCACATGAAACACACACACTACTAAATATTACAACCTTTAATCCTCTATTTTGTAGTACTAAATTTATGCCTGCAGCAATATCTTCACTGTGAAAATTACGTCCAGACTCAGGTTTAATCTATGGTGCCGAATAAAACCATTTCCTTTTTCCTCACTTGGGTGAAGGATGGATGCTTTTCCCATCTGTCTTCTGAGCACAGTGGTAGTTCTCTCTGGGTTTGTTTTGGAGTCACAGGTTAGGTTCAGAGAGAGGAAATTTTAGTGGAACCATTAATTCCCCTGTGGATCACTGAGGAAGGGTCCCCGCTGCTCTGCTGCACACACTTGTAAACAGGGGACCCTCTCTTCTACCACGGCCAGTGACTCTCCCACAGCTGGCTCTGCTCGCCTCTGGAACCGGTTCTTACATCCCAGGATTTGTGTAAAATAATAAGCATTCCCTTGATCTTAACAGTATAAAATCAGTTTTCCTTACATAGGCTTCCCAAATTCTTTAGAATTTGGATTGTCACTACTGCTAACTAGCTTTGTCCCCTTAAAACTTTTTATTTAACCTCTCTGACCTTAACTTCCTCCCCTGTAAAATGGATACAGTCAGTTATTTATTACTTCACTGACAACTTATTGATCATCTACTACATGCAGTGCATAGTGCTCTCTTAAAATTCTACCCCATGATTCTCCTGTTCTGGTATTAATGTAACTTTGTTACAGTCAAATCAATACTAGAAATCACACCCTTAGACTACAGTCTATCTGTAGATAATTTACCAGTTGTGTTTTAAGAAGGGGATTAAAATAGTAAGAAAACACTGATTTCCCCATTCCCTCCAAAAAAGGTTTTATCTAACATGTGTATTAATGGGATTTAACCAATATAGTTAAAAGCTTTCAAAATTAGTTTAGTTCTAGTCCTTCAATTTTATTTCTCTAGAACTGAGATGAAAACATCTGTTGCTGGCAGTGTCTTTTATTAGCTTTGGTTTATAATTCTGTAAAGAGTGAGCCCAAACTTACTTTGGCTTTCAAAACAGAGAGACAAAGTCCTTACAACAAAGTCTGTGCATGTAAGTTCACCTAAACGTGCTTAGATGGTAGCAACACCCATTGTCTATTCAGAGAAAAGATAAAGCTGGCTGGAAGACATTCATGAGGTGAGGCCTTTCAGATACGACCTCTGGCTGCCAGCTCTGCCTTACAACAGGCCAGGAGAACAAAAGAAGAATGAAAAAAAAAAGAACAACAAATTACAAACGGTGTTATATTACAGATCTGTTAAGAAACATGAATTGGGATGCATTCTAATAACATTACATCTCTTGAAACTTAAAAACAACTTACTGTAAAAGTTTTTTTTTAATCTGATAATTCTGTAAGGAAACAATTAGCCTTATCCCCGGAAAATAGGCATTTTAAAAAATGAAAGAATTCCCATTTTTCATAATAATATAGCCTTAAAACACAATATATATTTACGAAATAAATTGATGCTGAAATTAATTCCCTTATAATAACTTTTTAAAGCTATCGACTAACTGGCTGATTATAAAACCATTTGTAACACCATTAATTCTACCAAGTGTCAAAATTAGTTAAATAAAAATATAGTAAGCATCCAAGATAACTGATCTTTCTAAATGTATCTCCTTTCCTTGTGAAGAATCAAATCAGAATCTTAAATTTTAAAGATAATAAAGTTTATTGCTATTTCTACTTCTTATTCACTTCCTTGCAGATCTGAAGATTCCATCCTAACTCGCTTATTTGAGAGAACATTTAGAATTAAGCAAGAGTGTATATGAGCTTGTATTAAACAAAGCTCGCTAATACTAAAAAATGAAGTGCTCTGGGTTCAATGGCTAAACACGTTCAGCACTCATCTATCATTACTGGATACCTATTTTAGCTCCTGTTAAAATAAAGCTAGGTTGCTATGTAGATTAGAAGCCCATTGTGTTTAGGAAAGGTTATTAAATTCTTAAAGTTTAATTGCTACAAAAAGCAGCATTTCTGGTCTTCAGGTAGTTGGTTATTTCTCAGCAAATTCTTGGCATGGAGTTTAGTCAATGAAGTCCCTCAAAAACATTGTTATAATAATAAATTGCCATATTCTAATAAAGGTAGCATACATCTTTTTCTTTGAGAAATAGAAAAGACGACATTTGGTGGAAAGATATGGAGCTTACGCTATATTCCAGATCTACTTATTTATTTACTTATTTTGGTTGCTACATGGCATTTTCTAATCTATCCCAGTTTAAAATGAAATGTTTTTCTAATGCAAAAACAATTGTAAAAAATAGCAGAAATTGCTGATTGCATATTTTTTTCTCTGTAAAATCCAGCCATGTTAGTGGGGCTCTGAAGAGTCAATGATTTATTGTACCACAGAAATGTGTTCCACGAGGGATGGAGGTATATAAATGGGGTTTTCTACTTGGATGTCTTTTTTAGGATCCCCAAACTGAATTAAATCCAAATTTCAGCCCCAAGAGCTCCAGCTGATTTTAATTTTCATGATCTGCCATCAGTTATACACATTATATATATAAAACACAAAATAAGCACTAAATATAATATTATAATCTGTCTTCCTATACATATTACTTGGGAAAATTATGTAGATTATATGTTATCTGTGAAAATTAAGAGATTCACTCCAGTAATATTGAAATAAATCAGACTACTTACATAAATTACAAACTGAAAATTTAACATTTTTAAGTTTTTCTTCCTAATCGCTTTATTACTACTTAATATAAGATACATTCAAATAACAAACTAAAGACCTTGGTGAATGTCAATAACCTCTCTTAAATCCAAAATACAGATAAACTATTCCCAATAACCCTTAGTTTAAAACCAAAATTTAAAGGAGTTCCTATTAATGAAGTAAATTAATGTGTACCAAAAATACCACATTTCTAGCAGGTGAACAATCCTCTCTATGAATAATTTGAAAATTATTAAATCATGCATTACTGTTTTGCTTTTTTGGCAGTAGCCAATAATCTTAGGGCTACCCACTAAAGTTAAGAAAACGAATGTCAATATAGACAACTCTGAGAAAAAGATGCCCACATCTCATTTCTTTTAAAGTAGTGAAATGTTTAGCTGTCACTTTTACTAGAGCAAACAAAATTAAAATTCAAGAGAACATAAGTTTCTTTTTAGGTGCAGGTATATGGCAACTATACAAGAATAAAAAAACAAACCCTTTTGACATGAACATAATTAAATACAGTGTTTCGAACGCTTTGGTCAGTTTTTTAGATATCTAGGGTTCTGCTCACAACGTTAACAGTATGCATGACAAGCCCTTTCATTTCGTGTTATTATGTTTCCTTTTAATTTATGATTGTTTACAGAAGGAAAACTTTAAAGCTTCAATAACAAGTCCCTGAAAACCAAGCAGGACTCACATATGAAGATCCATACATCATCCAGACAAGGGTCTGCTTGAAATGAGCACAGGTAAACTCCGCTCCTTCCTGCTTTATTCTTTTTTTTTTTTTTTTTTTTTTTTAAAGATTTTATTTATTCAGTTTTTTCCCCCCAAAGCCCCAGTAGATAGTTGTATGTCATAGGTTCACATCCTTCTAGTTGCTGTACGTGGGACTCGGCCTCACGTTGGACGGAGAAGTGGTGCCTCGGGGCGCTCCCGGGATCCGAACCCGGGCCGCCAGCATCAGAGCGCACACACTTAACCGCTAAGCCACGGAGCCGGCCCCTGCTTTATTCTTGAAATAATATAAACAGATAAAAATATTGCAATTTCTAAAAAAACAGAAATGACATGAGAATTGTAGATGGGTTGGCCCAATCATTTGGGCATTGCTTTTTCAATGCCATTTGCCTCTAACTTTGCAAGAAAGCAGAAGAGTTTGAAACTCATTAAATAAAAGTTAACAAGTTAGCAGAAGTTAATCATTCGACTACTATTCTTTTCTCCCAGATAAAGCTTGTAATAGATCTCAGAGAGTTATTTTTTAATAATGAAAACAAAACAGGATTAACAATTTTTCATTAATTTAAGGTGGTTTATTTTCAAAGGAATTTAGAAGATTGATGAGAGCTTTAACCCAAGCTTCTTGTTAAAGCCTATTAACTCCACATTGAAAAAGAATGCTCTCAAACTTAAACATAGCAATAAATCCTACTAGCTGAGTTCCTGATACCCAAGTACTTAAGTTTGGATATAAGATAACACTTAGGATATATTTGAAAATCTGGATCTGTTAAAAGTTCTAGAAGACTGAAATCTCACTGAGGGAAAAAATATAAATGAACGGAAGCATTTAAATACAGAAAATAAGTGGTAAAGCATATCTAAAAATGTTAACACCATAAAAATAACTTCTAGCAAAAAGAGATGTTAAACTGTCGATTTAAAACAATTGGGTGACCAAAATGAATAAATGAATAAATTATTTTTAGACTGAAGTGTACAGAAAAGTATATCAGTCTTTTAAAACACAGTATGCACACTCTAAATGTTAACTGTGGTTATCATGCAAAGATCCTTATTCAACTGCTCTCTCTAGGTGATTGTCATTAGCTTCATTCCAACAAACTAGGGAGGAGATGACTAGCAAGTTACTTAAAGTCTTCAGGATTCTGTTTCTTCATGTTTATTTTAAGTGGGTTTGACTAGAGTATCTGTATCATTTGTTCTAACTCGAGTGTCTAGCATCTTAAAAAAAAATTTAAAAGGTGTTTCTCTGCATGCTATGACTGTTTATTTTTTTTATTCCGTAGATGTGTTTTCCCCTAATATCAACATTTAATATTTTCTTCATTGTAGGAAAAAAAAATGCTTCCTTGTCTAACCAAAACAACTGAAAATGTTGATGAGGTATGGGCACAATGACAAAGGAGTCTTTCATACGTAAAGAAGAGCAAGTCATTCCAACGTTCACTCCTCCCTTTGTTTTTACTGCACCTCCTGGCCCGTCCAGAGCACACACTGGACTTACTTCCTACTTCCCTCCGCCTGGAGTCTCTTCCAAGACATGGAAATCCTTTAAGCCTCAGCAAAAGCCTTATTTATCCTGGAAAGTCTTTGCTGACGTACTCGGGCCAGCTCCTGAGCCTCCTTCACGCTTCCACAGTTCCCTGGATACTTCCTGTTGCACTTATCAAAGTCAGTGTCAGTGTCTACTATTTCTGTCTTTCTACTCTAGGTACCCCAGCATGGGCTCTGAGGATACAGGAGATGGACCAGGACTCCATCCTGCCCTCATGGTGCCTAGCTCATCTTGCATTTAATTGCTGTTAGTAAGGACTTTTTTTTGTATAAGAACTAGGTGAACAATACATGTCTCTCTAAAGACACGGGTTTGAGCCCCTATCCAAACCCCTTGGTTTTCGTCTGTTTCACAATCTAAACATGGCCAGTTGCTTTAATAATGTAGGTGTTATTCACCAGGAGAAGTAGTTAGAAAATGTCGCCAGCTCTAATCATTTACTGCTCACGTAGAAATCCATCAGAACTTGACATATTCATAGTATAACGTATAACTATATAATAATGTCATATATAAAATCAGCACATACTTTAATGTGATAAACGGGATGATGGGGAATATATAAAAATAAAATTTTTAAATGCCATCAAGTGATGGGAAGTAATCTTAAAGCTAATTAAAAACTTTTTTCAAAAAATCTTATCAGAGGAGCAACAGCTACAGCAATTTCGTAACACAGGCAGTCAGATGGCATGTGGACCTGACACCAGCAGTGGTCATTTACTGAGGAACTGCTATGTGCCAGGCACTGGCTCAGGTGTATCTATTCTGTCCCACTTAATCCTTCCTCTGTGGCAGATACTACTGTTCTTCCAATTTTACAGCTAAGAAAACTAAAACTCAGAGAGGTCAAGTTACTATCATTCCCAGGGCCACTGAGCTAGTTCGTGGCAGAGCTGGCCCTTGACCCGGATCTGTCAGACCCCAGTCTATGCTCACAGCCATCAGACTAAACGCTGAAATCACGTTCCAGTAACATATATTACTGGGACAATTTATTTCATGATCAAATTTGTAAGGAATACAGGGAGTTGCCTTATTTGGTTCCATTTATTAGACATTTGTTTCCTCAGTGTTCCAAAAAAGACTTTAAATTTCTATGTAGCATCCAATGAGTGGACATTTAACATAATTATATAATTAGTGGACATTACGTCCATTGAAAACAATGATTTCACTGGCAGCACTCATTGTGTCTCTTAAGAAAAACGTTGAGGAGCCAGCCCGGTGGCACAGTGGTTAAGTTCGCGTGCTCTGTGTCAGTGGCCTGGGGTTCTCAGGTTCAGATCCTGGGTGTGGATCCTGGGTGTGGACCTACACACCACTCATCAAGCCATACTGTGTCAGCATCCCACATACAAAATAGAGGAAGATTGGCACAGATGTTAGCTCAGCAACAATCTTCCTCAAGCAAAAAGAGGAAGATCAGCAACAAATGTTAGCTCAGGGCCAATCTTCCTCTCCAAAAAACATAAAAAGTTGATAGCTAAAGACTCAAGTAGCTTACTTCTTTTGTTTTTTAAATAACTAAACATGAAATTTTATAGCCTCCTTTCCATATGTACAATATGGACGAGACCTTTGGCCTTGTCATATTATAATCTAAATACACAGTATTTTTTACATGAAGGAAAGAAATTATTTCCCTTATGTTTAATCATTTGAGCGTTGTTTCTTTGGAGTGTGAGGCGTGCTTGGGAAGGCAATGTAGCAGAATCACTGAAGGAGTGACTTCAATGAGCATGCTCTACTAAATCTAATAAATCGTGACACTATGCCAGAATGTGGGTGTCTGCGTGTGTATGTGTGTGAGTACTGGAGTGAGGTACACACAGGGCACAGATAGGTTGAAAACAATTCTCAGATAATCTCCCCATTCTCTTCCTTTGACTTGTCTTTGAGAATCACTATTTCAGAAAGCCAAGTGTCAAAAAAATGTTTGAAAGGGAGAGAGGAAAAAAGCAGAATTTTTTCAAAACTGTACTGAATATATTGGATAGCTACTGAAAAAGAATAGTCAACCTGACTAAGATGGTTATAATTACCTTTATATAATATATTAGTACCACAGATCATTACTCCAAAAGTTTGACAGCCTCATTGAATGTTTTCTCTCTCTTTTCTCATTTTGCCCCAATGCCCCCCACCCCTCACTCCCACACCACCACCACACACAATGTGTTCGTAGCACCATTCATTCAACAACCTTCAGAGGAAAGCTCTCAGGAAAATAGGCCACTGGCAATTAAATGGAACAGTGGGCAAAGAAGGCTGCTACTGTGTCTGAATGGGATTGTTCTCCTCTTTCCAAAGAAGAAAAAAGAAGCATTCAGTGGATATCCTGTAAACAGCTCTATTACAAATAAATTATGGTAATTGCTTTTGTCGGTTATGGGCCAGGCATGTCCATCAACTCTAAACATCTTCATCTGTGGAATGAATTTCTGGGTAGATACCAAGTTATACTGCCACCTTGATCACACTAGCCCAACGCCAAGAAAATATTCATAAATACAATGTTTTCAAGAATTTCAGTATTTTAAATAGTTAGATTTTCTCTCTCTTCTCACTGCTACCCTGAAGAGCATACTAAGAGGTACTTTTTATTGGACAGGCATCAGCTCTGGAAAATAAATATTTTAGAAAGAATCTTAAAAGTTCAATTTCTGCAAGTCTCATCATTGCTGATCTTTATTGCCAGGGGATCTTGCCTTTGTGACTTTTCACAGGCATATCAGAATTACTCAACGCCCTACATAGAAACCTGGAATTTTACAGGGGACAAGCAGCCCTAGGCTACTTCAAAGTAATTAGCCTACTTCTCAGAGTCTGGAACCTGATAAAGATGATCAGAGTGGCATCTCAGAGCAGAGACAAACCACAGCATTGAGCGGGTTCCTGCCACTGCTCCTGATTCCTCCCCTTAAGCTGGGGAAACAGAGCTCCTGGCTGGAAGGCACAAGTTATTTCTACCACGCTGACCTGCTTTGTCCTGAGAGTCGTCAAACTCCACATTGAAAGAGTGACCGTTGTTGACAATTCTCCGGGAAATCGCTTGCTCGTAGTGAGGATGCAGAGGCTTCAGGGCAGCGTCGTAAACGGCCGCTTTGGTGTCGATGTCAATAGGGGACTGGCGCTCCCCATTGGCAACGGGGAAGTCCTTATGCCAGTGCGCGGGTCCTGGGGTTGAGAACAGACGTTTGACTCCCCCAATGTGGGGAAGGGCACACCCCAGACCCCAAGAAAAGGGCAAAGAGCCTGGGGCCAATCTGCCTGGTTCCAACTTTGCAGGCCCCACTTAGCTGAATAACCTTTGGGAAGCACTTAACCTGTGCCTCAGTTTCCTCATTTGTACCATGGGGTAATAATAACATCTGCCTGATAGAGCTTGTTGTGAGAATTAGAATCAATATATATAAAGCTTTTAGAACAAATAGTGAGTGCCTTATCAATACCTGTATTGGCTATTTTATGCTCGTTTTACTGAAATTGAGCAATTGAAATGGGCTGGTGGTTAGGATTTGGGATATGCACTCTCATTTAAGACACCCCAGCAGACGGGGATTCCTCCCTCCCGTCTTCGTACTAGATGACAAGGCAGAGTCTCTGCTCAGGCTGGCACCCCTCCTTTGATAGTCAGGATCCCCACCACCGGGGAAGCCCCAAACCCCCCAAAATGCGCCAGATGCGCCAGACGCATCTTCCTCTTGAGTCTGCTGGCTCGGGAGAACCAGATGTGTGGCCACGAGAAAGCCGGGGTCCTGGTGACCCCCAACATTAGAAGTCGAGAGATGAAGGGAAAACTCGGAAATCAGCACCATGGATTCAAACCAGCCCAAGAAAATGCCCCGGGACGGTTTGCGCCGAGATGCTTAGCGACAGGTGGTGCTGAGGATGAAGTGTGGGGGGGTTAGGGGTCCCCCAATTTCTCTGCCACCAACAACTAAAATGTTTCGTTACAACCCTTCCTCGCTCCCTCCCGGGTCCAGCTGGATGGTGTCCAGCTCGTGACCCGGGAGGGACTGTCCTCCGGTCCCTCCTCGGGCCCTGCGCGCCGCGGGGGCGCGGGGATTCCTCGAGAGTGGCCCTGGGCTGGGGCGATGGGGCCTCCCCGCGCGGAGCCGCGGGGGGCGGGCGCCGGGGGCGCTCCCGAGCCGGGTGCCGGGCGGCCGCGGTACACAGCAGGTGCGGGCGCTCGGGGCCGGGACGCGGGGTGCGGCTGCGGGCCCCGCGCGCCGCGCGCACTCACCGTTGTGCGGGCCGTATCCCCAGTGATGGGGCATGGTTGCGCGCTGGTCCGGGCAGGGCAGGAGTTGGCGCCGGTCTAGCGGCGGCTGTCGGGCGCCTGCACCGTGTGTCCGCGGTCGCGCCGGCCCCGGCTTTTATAGGCTCCCGCCAACTTGGTGCTCGGGGGCGGCCCGAGGGAGGGGGCCGGGTGGCCCCGCGCGGCGGGGGAGGAGTGCGGGGCGGAGGAGCTGTCCCCGCGCTCGGGGCGGG